AAAAATGCATTTCCAAGGGTCATTGATTGAAAGTGCTTGGAATTCCAGGCACTCCCTTCTACAAACCACATTTTTCCAGGGATGGAGACAAAAAGTGGCAAGGAAATCCGGGGGAGATCAACTTATTCACAGTGGAATTCCGGGGTCATGCGGAAAAAAATGAATTTCCAAGGGTCATTGATTAAAAACAATTGGAATTCCAGGCACCCCCTTCTACAAACCACATTTTTCCAGGGCTTCTGACAAAAAATTACTTGGAAATCCAGGGGGTAGGAGAATTTACGCCGTGTGTCCTCAACAGGGGGTGTACGGATAAAAAATGCAATAAGCCATTGGTTGAAAGCTCGATCATGCGGCGCGCGAATATTCAAATATTTCGGCTTCATTGCTGCCTCGTACCCAGGCGTCTCTTTGTAAAAAAACAGTGATGCCCATATGACGTGTTTACATGAAGTATTGTAGTGGGGCGAAGGGGCTGATGGGAAGAGTGCACTTGAACTGCGAGACGCCTGGCAGTTCTTGGTCGATTTCTTGCAAATTTGTACGATTTCTTGCAAGTCGTACTATTTCGTTTTCGTTTACGATTTTTTGCTACTTGTTTTTGTTGAATTGACTAATGTTAATATTCTTCTGTCATCTGGGCGTGAATTCATGCTGTTATTCTTGGTATATATGACATATATATGCCCTTAAAGTCCATGGAAATTCCAATATTAACATGTCAACAACCGAAGCGTTGAAGAACTAGACTTGCAGGAACTAGATTTGTAAGCTATAACTATATAAAGGTACAGACAATAAAATTGCACTATTGTAATAAATATTTCAAACTTTACGGCTGTGAACTTTTATTTACTTGCGCTTTTGTTTACAGTATACATTTAATAGAAATTGACATTGTGATCGACTGATCGAGCCTTCAGCTAAAGAAGTTATTAATACCAAAGCAATTATATGACTTTCTAATCATTTCTCTGTTACTGTTTTATACTAAGCAACTGATAGCATTCTAGCTATTATTCTCCATGTAATACCAAATGACATATTCGAAATATTCGCACGGTTAACTTGCCAATTTTTCGCGCATTTTGCATGTCATCGAACATCTACAAATTTATTATTATTTGCCAATGGCGTTCAATTCAACTCTTCATCACAAAGTAAGGTTTTACACACAGAGTATATGACGATATGGTAACTTTTTGTATAAAATTCCCTGTTTTCCCGCCATGACAGTATACAAGAACTGCCAGGCGCTCCCCAGCATGCACCCTTCCCAACAGCCCCTTCGCGCGTCGGATGCCTACGTGAATACTTCATGTAAGCGCCTGGGTACGAGGCAGGCTTCATTGTGTGTTATCTTCATATTGTGTTATTGCTGCTGCAAATTATAGCGTGTTATAAGACTTATAATATTTGAAATGCGATATTTTGAGGTCCAATTTTGCCAGTTTCCAATCTGTATGATGAAATGCATAAACATACATGACACATGTGACATGGGAACTATTTCTGTTAATTTATTATTATGTCTAGTAATTAACTTCCGAATTCAAATGTTTCATTTGTGAAATGGTTTATAATTTACCAGTAAATTAATATGCGGCTGTTTCATGCTACCAGTAGATAATATTCGGATAAATATTTGCCAATTAATTTGGCGATATACCTGTAATCGGCCAGCCCTAGCCTGTGACGGTAGACCAGGCTCAAAACGTGTGTTTATAGACCGTGTTATACTTTAAAAGTGTTTAGTTTAAGAATATATGTTATTCTAACTGCACAAACAGTTTTAACACCACCAAAAAGGTGCTATTTTAACACCCGTGCTCTGTGCTAATTTAACACCACCAAAAGGTGCTATTTTAACGCTCGTGCTGCGTGCTAATTTCACACCACCAAAAAGGTGTTATTTTAACACCCATGTTCTCACTCCACAAACAGTGCTAATTTAACACTGGGGAATACAAATTCTTAACACCACTTATGGTGTTATTTTAACACCAAGAATTTAGCACCAGAAACCGGTGTTATTTTAACACCACCTGCCCTTAAGTGGGTGTTATTTTAACACCTCTAAAGTGGTGTTAAACAATTTGAGTGTTAAATTAACACTTTGCAAAATATTTTTATTTATGTCGTGTTAAATTAGCACCGAAAAGGGGTGCTAAAATAACACTTTTGTTTAACACCACCAGTTGGTGTTAATCTAACACCACCCGAGGTGTTATTTTAACACCCTGAAATTAACAGTGCAACCGGCACTTTGTACCTATCAAAACCTGATAAAAACTTCCGGCTGTACTAGCCAGGATGGCGTGAGCGAGTCAAAATTTTCGTGGGTTACACTTCTGCTATACTTTCCTATTTTGTGGTTATATGCTGTATATTCAAATACATTCTTCAACCGGAATATAATCATACGTGGTTATTATTGTACTAATTAACGCTATAGTAAAAATTTAAAAAAATATCGTGCACGCGGCAAGATTCGATAAAAAAAAATCGTGCGGAGTCGGTGAGGTCCAAAAAAAAATCGAGCACTCTCAAAAATGCGCCCCCCCCCCATGAAAAATCAAATGGTCCGTCCCTTACGAAACAACCCATCGTTGGAAAGCTGAATGCCTACGTTTTAAAACAAATGTGAACCTGAACGTTTTACTCTAATATTCGTTTCGAAATTTATATTTGAAGCGAGGACTCCGTTTTTTATGATACACCCTGTATATATATATATATATATATATATATATATATATATATATATATATATATATATATATATATATATATATATATATATATATATATATATGACATTTTCAGAATATTTTCATCTTAACATATTACGGAGTGTACAATAACACAACCAACATAACATTGGCAGAACTAGTATTGTTCGATGCTGAATTAATATAAACGAGTATGTTTATGACATTCAGTATATATTTCATAATTCGAAGGTCGCGGGTTGAAGACCCAGCCGCGGCAGACAACATCTTTCTGCTTACGCTGGGTATGGAAATGATATAATACACACTCTAGAACATTTTCATCTTAACATATTACAGAGTGTACAATAATATATAATATATATATATATATATATATATATATATATATATATATATATATATATATATATATATATATATATATATATATATAAAATATAAAAGAGTGCTCAATACTAAAAATATTTAGCAGAGCGAATTAATTTGTTATCTTAAAATTTGTTAGTTAAACTATTGCTACTTAAAGGACAATGGCAATAAAATTTTTTATTCTCGATATCTATTAAGGTTACAGAACACCTTTGAGTGTTAATTTTGTCTAAAATTTTTTTATTCGTTTCAATGCAAGCATTAGACTAGTTCTACTATCTGACCAAGTTTGAACGAAAAATGTTGAAAACTCGCAGAGTTATTTAATAAAATACATTTCGCTGCAATAAGAAAAACATTGAAAATGTAATATTCAAATTCAATTTTCTCACGAAAAATTTTACGGTAATTACTGATTTTCAAACGAGTTATGCTCCTGCGGGTTTTAACCAATTTTTCTCAAATTTTCACAGGATATAGCTAAATACGTCAGTTTCAAAATTGTGTTCGGCTTTTTTTTAATTTTGGATAGTTTAAAAATAAAGAGCAATTCACTCAAACAATTCAGAAATATATTGCAGTCGTCAAAGAAATCGCCATATCAGCGGAATGACGAAATAAACAAAAATTTCCGAACACACAATTTTTTAGAACAACTATTTTACTGTATAAAAATGATATTTTCATAAATATAACTTAAAACTAGCAGGAGCACAACTCAAAAGCGTAAAGGTACCGCGATTTAAGATTTTCCTGAATAACTCTTACATTATTTTTATATTGTTTGTTAATTTTACAACTTTACCATATTTTGCATGCACTGGAGAACATTTGGTGAAAAGTTGATGAAAATGGGACTGATATTGAGCGCGCAGTAGCGATTTTCCGCAAAACGCCAAAAAGGGTGTCCTGTAACCTTAAACATACCTACGGAATACTTAATTACGCATTTTCACTTGTCTATCGCGTTTAGTTGTTCACAAATATCACAAAACTTTCGACAGTCGTCCGCCATCTTGAAAAAAACCTGGTATGCTAATTTATGTGAGAATAAATTTGTGACGTCAAGAGCAGGGGAAACAAATATTGTCAATATAAAATAGTATGCGTGCGAACACATTTTACGAAGATTTTGACGAAAAAAGTGCGGATAAACTCCAAATTTTTTGTATAACTGCGTAAAAATTTAGCGTTACTACTCTACTGTTGTTGTTTTGATTCTACCCTGCTCTTGACGTCACACAGGTCATATGACCCAAAAGATAATTTTTTTGAAAATTGAACCAAGATGGCGGACGTACTGAATATTTACGGTGAAATAACTCGAGAACAAAACATTTTTTATGAAAACTAATAGCATATTCGTAATCAGGGGCCAGTTTTACCAATATCAGCAATAAAAAAAAATATTGCCATTGTCCTTAGTTAAGTTTTATGCCACTATTTGTGACAATCTTCAGGCGATTAAATTCAATTCGTTATTAATGGCATGATCTTCAGTTTGCTGACGTGCACCGTCATTATTCGTATAGAGATTATAAATAGAGGGGGCATCGTAATCTTTATTCAGCCAAAGAAAGTGACGGCGGTTATTGGGGCCAAAAAATTAAAATGCTAAAATAGGAGCGAGTTTGAGCAAAAATCTCTAAAATTTTACTCAAGCATTTTTGCCTCAATGTTGTCTATAACACATTTAATTTTTGAGAGTGATTCCAAAATAATGCTGATGTCAGCAATTTTGGTCTTTTGAAGAAGAATTTTTGAAGAGGAGATTTTTTTGTATGTTACGTAACACGCGCTCAAAACTAATGCGCATAATATATCGCTTGAGGTTATGACTAAATTCAACATTTTTATTTTTCGATACGTTTCTCAATCGGCAAACAAAGTTAAAAAGTATGCTTGGTGCTTTATCTGTAAAATAATGCCAAAATGAAGAGATTTACGCCAAAGAGAAAATAATGTCTGAAGTTCAGTAAGTTTTGCTTATATGGCTGTAAATATGGCGTCAATTTTAAAGCATCATTGTTGATAGTTGTATTTTAATTGACAATTTTTAACTATTATTTTACTGTGTTTCTGAACCGGCTGATGCATTTAAAAAGGTAGCTATCTCTATAAACTAGAGAATGATGCTAAAACAAAGTAATTTTGAGAGGAACGCCAAAAAGATTTTAGGTTTTGAACACTTTTCATTGCAAATACGTGACATTGAAAAAAATTGCCTCTTA